TGATGTGTGATCACTATAACCTGTATAATAATTGTGATGAATGTTGGAATCAAATCGAGAATATGCAAGAATAAAATATAGATGAGTGTGCTTCTTGCTCGGAACAATGTAACCACTTCTTAGAAACTCCGCCTTGAGCTGATGCAACCTCTGCTGAGAACAGCCCGCTGAAAGACAAAATCCCGCCACTTCCAAAAGATCCAATAGTACAACAGCGCGCCAAGAGGCAGAGACCTCCAGACTTTCAAAGGACCCAACAAGGGACGGACATGTACCCCAGCAACTCGAATGATCCAACGGAGGAAGAGCAGGACGACTGTCTGGTAAATGGGGATTGGTCAAGACGCAGGTACAGGAGTATAAAAGGCACTGCTGTTAGAACTCGGGGTGCGTGTGGCAGAGCTGAGACTCCCCACGCGCCCAGCGCTGCTTTGCTTATTGCTTCTCACCCTAAGTTGATTGAACCCAAATAAAATTGTATGCTTGTTATGAGATTGGACTTCAGTCAATTATAACAAGATGTTTGATAGAGTTGGTGCAGGATGAGTGTTCAGGCAACTGTTTCTCCTCCAATTACACTGATTTCGTTATTTTCTTGCTCACTTAAGACTGATTATTTTATCTCCTGCCATTATCACAGAACAGCTTTTTCTCTGACTGAATCTTGTTATTGATCCAACTTGAAAGAATAATTTTGATAGTCTATGTATTTTGTATAATCTTTCTTTGACTGAAGTTAGGAATGTTAATCCATGTGTCATTTCAAGATTGCATTGAAAGTGTTTCTCTCCACCTATATCCTTATCCCTATGTAACCTTAATGATGTGTAGCTACTACACTGCAGCAACTCTCTCTCCTACTTTTCCAGTTGACTAATAGCCCCGTGCCCCAAACTGCGGATGTCCCCAGGTGCCAGGGAGGTCAGCAAAAGTGGCCGGGCACACAGCATGCCATAGGAAATGTTTCACAGCTCAGAGGGAGAAACCGTTCTGGGAGCAAGTCAGGACACTTTGTTTCCTATGAATTCATATTTTTAGGCAAAGCTTCTGTATCCATTATTGTCAGCTTTTTCTTCTACCTGACTCCCTGTTAGTGTAAAATTTGTACAAACTTTAGCATCATTTGAGTCTCAACTTCTCTTTCAGTCTGGTTGGAATCAGATGACAGATTTTAAGATAAGCAGGTAGGAAATGCCAGGGCATGCACCATACGCCATGATCACACAAGCTTTGCTTCCAAACTGAGCTAAAAATGACTGCTGAAGGATAATGAGACATAATTACAAATCTGAGTGAGAGCTGTCTGCACTGTTTCACTATGAAGGTGGTTACTGCTAATGCACGACTATTTGTCTATAATGTGGATACTATTAACAGGAAACTTCCTGTAGCAAACTACAGCTAAACTATGCATTCACTGAGAATTCCGATGAGTGTGTTTTTCGATTGTTCAATATAATCTACCATCAAGGTAATTTGGCTTTTTTTCTGCAAGTCATTGTCGTGGTTTGGGCCTGGTTGGCAGCCAACCACAACGCAACAGCTCTCTCTCCCTTCTCCTCCAGCAATGGGAAGGGGCAGAGAGCCAGGCTTGGGGTTCGAGATAGGACTGGGATGGGGGAAAATTCCCCTTTATGATCACGAGCAAAAGGCAGACTCGTTAGGAGAGGAAAAAAAGAACAGACATTTATTACAGACACTAACAACACATAACAGAGTAGGATAGTAGAAGCATTGCCACATCTTGAGAACACCTTCCCCCCACCCCTCCCTTCTCCCCGGGCTCAGCTCTGCTCCCAATATCTCTACGTCCTCCCCCAGTGGCTCAGGGGCAGGGAATGGGGGGTGCAGGCAGGGATGCCACTTCAGTGAGGGGAGTGTCCGAAACTTGTTCCTCCTGCTCCATCGTGGTCCCCCCTCTCACAGGAGACAGTCCTCCACAAACTTTCTCCAACATGAGCTCCTCCCATGGGCCGCAGCGTTCCCCACACTGCTCCATCATGGGTCACTAACTACCTCCGACTGGATTCCCTCCCACGGCTGCAGCCCTTCCCGAGCTGCTCCAGTGTGGGACTCCCCCGCATGCTGCAATCCTCCCAGCACTGAATTACAGCAGCGGGGCTGCCTTTTCCCATGAGACCCCGGCCTTCTTCGGGCACAGCACCTTGATTATACCAAGCAGAAGCCACAGGCCATAAATCAGTGTCTGCTCCACCGTAGATCTCCATGGGTGGCGGGGGGGGCCACCCTGCCGTCTCACCACAGGATACAGGGGGGTCTCTGCTCCGGCACACCTCCCCCCTCCTTTCTTCCTCCGTTCCTCCACTGACCTTGGTGTTCATGCAGCTGCAGCAACTCCTCCTCACAAGTCTGACTGCCCGTCACCACATTCCTTCTTAAATACGTTATCGCAGAGGCGCAGCTGATGGGCTCAATTTCCCAAACAGAAGTGGAGCTGACGTGGAGCTGGGGAGCTTCAAGAAGCTTCTCACAGGGGGCTGCCCCGATAGCCCCCTCCCCTGCCACCAAAAAACTCCACCACTCATTCAACCCAGGACAGTCATTAGCATAATAAATTGCTTAATATGCATCTTTTATTGTGAACTAATTCATCCTTTGAGGGGAAAAAAAAGGCAATCACTAGTGTGAAATCCTAATTTAAAATATGCTTGGGAGCATATTTGGCAAGATAATGCTGATGAAAGTGAGAATTTGAAATCCAGCTAAACCAAAAATCATTTGCTTAGCTGTAGCATTTACAATAAATAAGCATATTCCTTATAAACTGCCTTGTTACATTGTTCAAGTAATGAACAGATTCATTTTTCAGGTTCAATATCATGACCTCGTGGCACTTGTTGAACTGTTTTTCTCATACGTCTTTGTCTTGTCCGTCTGCATAAATCTGATCTTAAACGAGAGGAGCAGTGAGGCTGTGACTTTGCATACGGCCTCTGTTCTGCTGGGCAGTTCCGTCATCTTTATCAAATATACTCATACCAATTAAAAGTAAGCAACAGCGGTAAGACTGAACCAATATTTGATCACCCCTACAATTGGCAGTGCATTACTGTAACTAATAAGAAGCCTTTCCTCCTCTGTTAATCATACCTTCCGCCTTCAAAAGCTCAGCTGAGCAGCACTATCTAATGGAATACGTAATAACTCAATCACAGGGAGAGAGCTATCTCCTCAGCTGCTCTGCAGCATCTGTCACTACGTTTGTTTGATATTTGAAAATGTAAGAATACATTATAAGTGGTTGAGATATCTCATGAAAGAAATCATCATGTACAAAGCTGTTAGAGCTTGTAAATAGAAGTTTCTTCTAAAGTGATCCCTGTCCTGCATTCCCTACCGAAGAGGGAATTAACATGTGTGGAAAGGCTATTTTAGCTCTTCAATTGAATGCTTCTTCCTGGGGGATTGTTCGTAATTCCGCACCCAAAGACACTCTCTTCTAGAAGAGGACAAAAAATATTTCGATGCACCAGAGAAAACTGTTCTTCATCCATTCTTATTTTTAAAAAAATTCTGCACAAAATCTTGCTTTTTACTTAACTCTTCAGCAGTAATTTCTGTCACATAATAACCATCTCATTACCCCATCACATACCTAAAAAGCCCATGAAACTCCAGTGCTTCAAGTTCCAGTTCATGCCACCTTTTCAAGTATAAAAAGGTGTGTGCTTCCTGATGTGTCTGCTTTTGAAAATATATCAAAACACAGGTCATATGCCCAGGACAATTAGCAGTTTCTCATCCTGCCAGGCCTAATACTGTATAAAGAAACACTACGCACACTGCAGACTGCACCAGGTACTTTTAACGCTATTCACATTCCTCTCCAGATGTCTGGGCGCTATGAAATAATAAACCTTTTATTTCTTTTGTCTTCCAAGAGGAAGAAAAGTCCTCTTTATTAATAGCTTTCTTTTAAACAAAAAGTTCTTTAAAAATGTTACCTGCATAGATAACAATCTCTCATTTGAAATACAAAAAAAAAAAAAAAAAAAGGCTACTTTTCCTTCTAATACTCCCTTCCAAATTCCCCCCAAAAGCAGCAGAAAGGGTTTCAATAAAAATATTACCTTTCCACTGGTATATCAATCCGCCTATCTCTGCTTCCTTTCACTGGGAACACAAAAACACTAATCAGAGCCAGAATAAGCGTTTTTAGGCCCACAGCGAAAACTTCTCACAGAAAGCACCTACATGGACGATCGTCGCTGTGCAGCACTGTTTCCTCCAAACTACCATGCTGCACATGGCAATCCCTGTCTAGCTGCTTCCTTTCACTGGGAACACACAAATCTTCAGCAGAGCCAGAATAGCACTTTTAGGCCCACAGCAAAAACTTCTCACCGAAAGAATGGAATGCTGGATAGACGATGGTGAAATGGGCAGATGACTGCTTTCGCAGAGTGATGGAGAGATGACTGGGTGGAGGGTGCAGGAATGAATGGTCCAGAAATGTGGAAAGAGGGATGATTGAGGTGGATGGATGGATGGATGGATGGATGGATGGATGATGGATGGATGGATGGATGGATGGATGGATGGATGGATGGATGGATGGATGGATGGACGATGGATGGATGGATGGAGGACAGACAGACACATGAATGACTAGAGAATTTGGTGGAGGGATGAATGGGTTGATAAATACATGGATGACTGGACAGAATGTTGTGCTGGGATCTGGCCTTTAATGGTTGTTGCTGGCTGAATGCGTTGCCTCAGGGTGGAAGATTGTTCATGCAAAATGTATGGTGAAGGATGTTGGCCTGCGTGGATGAGTGGAGAAAGAGCCGGAGAGATGGATGTGTGATTTGATGGTTGGTTTGGATTGGTTGAAAGCTGGGTGACTTGGTGACTGGCTGGATTGATGGATGGTTGGGCAGATGGACGGATGGATGGTTGGACAGATGGATGGGTGGATGGACGGAGGGATGGATGGATGGATGTTTATCTCCTGCTTTGTCAGCTCTCTATTACAGCTCCAGCCGAGCCAGAGGAACACCATTGCAGCCAACCCTGGGTGAGCTCAAGGCCTCCCACGTCCCCCCTGAGTCCGTGGAGCTGGAGTGGAGCATCCCCAAGGGCACCTTTGACTCCTTCACGGTGCAGTACCGGATGCCCAGGCCAGCCGCAGGTGCTGCCCTGGATGGGGGTTCCCGCACGGTGACCGTGCCGGGGCTGCCCCGTCGCGCCGCTACAAGTTCAACCTGTACGGGGCGGGGGTCGGAAACGTCTGGGCCCGTCTCCACCGACGCCGTCACAGGTGAGGGGGCACCTGCAGGTCCCATCCCATCCCCGTCCCCTTTGGCTCTGGGTTTGGGTCACGGCAGGAGCTGGGACCGGGCCTGTGCTGGTGCTTGGGACGGTTTGTGAAATGGGTTCCTCTTGTGTGCTGAGTGGGGGCTGGCCAGATGTTTGCGGGAGCGTTTGGAGGAGAAGGACAGATTGGTGGCAGGAGGGTTTGATCAAGGACTCTTTGGTTGAACGAATGGAGCTGCGGATGGATGGGCAGAGGTTTGACTGGTTGGCTGGCTCAGTGGGTGGATGGATGGAGGGAAGCGGATGGATGGAGTGTTTCTTGAAGGGTCTGGGGGCGGATTTTGGGGTCTCCCAACGGGAGGTTTTGGGGGTTCGGGGAGGTGTCAGGGTCTGGCAGGGGGGTGGGGGGCGGTTTTGGGGTGCCCCCCCCCCCCCCCCAAACTCACCGCGCCCCCCATGCGCATGCGCAGGACGGGCCCGCGCTGGAGCGCGAGGTGCAGCAGCCCCATGCGCCGGCCCTGCCCCTCGGCCCCGCCTCCCGCGCCTCCCCCGCCCCAGCCCCGCCAGCACCAGCGCGGCCGCCATCGCTGGGAGGGGGGGTGGGTGTGTGCACCCCGGAGGAGCCCCTATATTGGGGGGCACCCCAAGCCCCGCCCCAATGAAGCCACGTCCCCCCCATAGGCGGCAGCTGGGGTGCTGGGAACACACGTTTATTGGGGGGCTGCAGTGGCTGGGGGGGTCCCCAATAAATGGGGGGACCTTGGGGGGCCCCTCATTGGGGGGAGGGGGAAATCACCATGGCTGGGGGTAATTGGGGGGCAGGACCTTGCAGGGGTCCCCATTAAGGTGGGGGGTCCACAAAAGAAGGGACCTAATAAGGTCCTCAACATTTGGGGGGGTCCCCATTATGCTGGGGGTCCTCAAGGCTGGGGGAGTCCCTAAAAGGGTGGGGACCCGTGGGGTCTCTGGGGTCGATATTGGGGTGCAGGGTCCCCATCATAGGTGGTTTTGGGGTGGGACCCTGAGAGCGATATTGGGGTGCAGGTCCCCATGGCTGGGGGTTTTGGGGTGGGATCCCGGGGGGGGATCCCCAATAGGGTCCTCAAGGGTTAGGAGGGGGTTCCCATTAAGGTGGGGGATCCCAAGAGTTGGAGGGGGGTGTGTGTCCCTAAAAGGGTGGGGACCCGTGAGGGTCTCTGGGGGTGATATTGGGGTGCAGGGTCCCCATGGCTGGGGGTTTTGGTGGAATCCCGGGGGGGGGGGGTCCCCCAATGTTTGGGGTGGGGGAATCCCTAATAAAGAGGGACACACACACACACACACACACACACACTCTGCAGGGTGTTTCTGTAGCGGGCATGTGCCCCAGGGGAAGGGATTGGGGGGGGGGGTGTGTTCAAGGGGGGTTTCGGTGACTGGGTGGGGGAGGTGACCCCCCCAAGAGGTTATCTTTTTTTTTGGGGGGCGCCCCTCAGGCCAGGCCCCCCTCGAAGCGCGCAGGCGCCGGGCCAGCTGCAGGTCCTTGGGGTAGAGGGTGACGCGCCGGGCATGCAGTGAGCAGAGCGAGGCGTCCTCCAGCAGCCGCACCATGAACGCCTCTGCTGCCTGCGCCCACCCCCCCCAAAAAACAACAAACAACTCAGGTCCCCCCCCCCCCCCAAAATCCAACACCCCCCCCTCCCTTTGGGGAACCCCTGGGGGGCAGGGATACCTCCCTCCAAAGCCAGACCCCTCTCACCACCCACGGAACCCCCCTCAGCACCCAGAGGAACCCCCTCTAATACCCACCCCCCCCAGCACCCATAGAACCCCCCCCCAAACCATCCCAGCACCCATGCCCCCCCAGCACCTGGAGACACACAGATGTTCCTCCCAGCTCCCATAAGGGATCCCCCCCCACCAGACACCCCCCCAAACACCCATAGGACACCCTCAAACCCATCTGAGCACCTATGGGACCCCCCCCCAGCACCCATAGGACCCCTCATCACCCATAGGATGCCCCTCCCAGCACCCATAAGCCCCCCAGATGAACCCACAGATGCACCTCCCTCGGCACCCATAGAACCTCCCCAATCTCCTCCTATCACCCACAGAACCCCCTCAAACCCATCCCAGCACCCATGGGCCCCCCAGCACCCTGCAGACACCCCCACACCCCCTCAAATGATCCCTCCAGCACCCATATGGGACGCCCCCACCAGACCCCCCCCAAGCACCCATAGGACCCCCCAGGCCCCCTCCAGCACCCATAGGACCCCCCTGCACACATAGGACCCCCCCAAATGAACCCCAGCACCATGGGCCCCCCAGCACCCATAAGCACCCCCAGATGTTCCCCCCCAGCACCCACAGAATTCCCCCACACCTTCCTATCTCCCATAGAACCCCCAGACCCGCCCCCCCAGCACCCATGGGCCCCCCCAGCACCCATAGGACCCTCCCAGCACCCATAAGCCCCCTCAGATCAACCCCCAGCATCCGAGGCCTCCCCTCCCTCAGCACCCATAGAACCCTCCCAGACCCCTCCCAGCACCAATACCTCCCCCAGCACCATAGGACCCTCCCAGATCCCTCCCAGCACCCATAGGACCCCCCCCAAATGAACCCCCAGCACCCATGAGCCTCCCCAGCACCCACAGGACCCCCCCCCAGCACCCACGGGCCCCCCAGCACCCACCTCCTGCAGGGCCACCAGCGCCATCCGCTGCCACCGATAATCCACCCCCCGGGTAAACATGAGGCAGATCCCCGCACCTAGGGACACGGGGACACCCCAAGTGACACCGTGGGGATACCCCAGGTGGGGGGACAACCCCATGGTGGGGGGAGGGGGGGAGGGAGGGAGTACCCTGGGGACAGCCCGAGCATGGGGACACCCGGGTGTCACCTTAGGACACCTGGGGACACCCCACCCCAGGGCGAGGGACAGCAGGGATGTGGGGGACACCTTAGGGACATTTTGGGGACCCCCCCACGCCAGGGCAAGGGACACCAGAGATGTGGGGGGCACCTTGGGGACATTTTGGGGACACGCTGGGGACATGTTGGGGCCCCCCACCCAGGGCGAGGGACAGCAGGGATGTGGGGGGCACCTTGGGGACATTTTGGGGACCCCCCCACGCCAGGGCAAGGGACACCAGAGATGTGGGGGGCACCTTGGGGACATTTTGGGGACACGTTGGGGACATGTTGGGGCCCCCCACCCCAGGGCGAGGGACAGCAGGGATGTGGGGGGCACCTTGGGGACATTTTGGGGACCCCCCCACGCCAGGGCAAGGGACACCAGAGATGTGGGGGGCACCTTGGGGACATTTTGGGGACACGTTGGGGACATGTTGGGGCCCCCCACCCCAGGGCGAGGGACAGCAGGGATGTGGGGGGCACCTTGGGACATTTTGCGGACCCCCTGGGCATGGGGACAGTGCCCCTCTGGGGGGAGGGGCACAGGGGACAGCCCGTACCCCCCAGGGACTGTGGTGGTGGGGGGACGGGGACACCCCAAGGACATTGGGAGGCGGACAAGGCCACTGCGTCACCGGGGAGAGGGGGAGGGGACAAGGCCAGAGGAGGGGACCCACGTCATCGCAGGGGACAAGGACATTGGGGGGCTGGGGGAGGTGGGGGACCCGGGGGGTGTTTGGGGGTGCCTGGGGGATTCCGGGGGGGGTTTTGGGAGGTTTGGGGGTGCTGGGGGGGGGTTGGGGGTCCTGGAGGGGATCTGGGGGGGGTTTAGGGGTGCCAAGGGGGTGTGGGGGGTTGGTTTGGGTGTCCCCCACGGGGGTTTGGGGGTGTCTCCGCAGGGATGGTTTTGGGGTGCCCAGGGAAGTGGGTGCGGGTTGGGTGTCGCCTGAGGGGGAGCGGGTTTGGGGTGCCCCCAGGGTGGGTTTTAGGGTTCCCCAGGGTGGTTTTGGGGTGCCCAGGCAGGTGGGTGGGTTTTGGGGGTCCCTAGTGGTGCTTTTGGGGTGCCCCCGGGGTTGTTTTGGGGCACCAGGAAGGTGGTTGGTTTTGGGGTCCCCCTGGGGTGGGTTTTGGGTTCCGCTGGGAATTGATTTTGGGGTTCCCCCAGGGTGGTTCTGGGGTGCTCAGGCGGGCAGATGAGTTTTGGGGACCCCCAGGGAGGTTTTGCTGTCCCCCCGGGGTGGGTGTTGGGGCTCACCAGGCGGGCGAAGGGCCCGGGGCGCAGGAGCAGGTGGGTGCTGCTCTGGTACCTGCGGATCTCCTGCAGCGCCCGCTGGCCGGGGCGAAGCCCTTGGGACATGGGGGACAGGGACAGGGTCAGGGGGGATGGGGAGGGGAAATGGGGGACAGGGACAGCGTCGGGGGGGATGGGGAGGGGAAATGGGGGGACATGGGTGGACAGGGACAGTGTCGGGGGGGAGGGGGGAGGACATGGGGGACAGGGACAGCTTCGGGGGGGGCGGGGGGAAATGGAGGGGGGACGGGGGGGACAGGGGGAGACAGGGACAGCGTCGGGGGGGACAGGGGGGACACAGGGGAACAGGGACAGCATTGGGGGGTGACAGGGCGGGTGGGACGGGGGGGACAGGGACAGTGTTGGGGGGGGTCACAACAGTGGGACATGGAGGGGGACAGGTGTGACAGGGACAGTGTTGGGGGGGACACCAATGGGGTATGGGGGGGGACAGGGACAGCGTCAGTGGGGCTGGCACCGGGGGAGGGCTATGACAGGGGGTGACACCAAGGGGACACGGAGGGGGGGGGCAGGGGGGACTCAGGGCACAGGGCCGGGGGATCTCTAGGTCTCAGCGTGAGGGGACACGGCTGGGAGGGATCTATAGGGGCTGCATGGGGGATACAGAGGGATCTGTAGGGCTGGGGGGGGGGAGGACGGGGGAACCTATAGGGTCTGGGAGGGATCCATAGGGCCAGGGAGGATGACAGGGGGAACTATAGGATCCAAAGAGATCTATATGGCCCAGGGCAGGGAATAACAGAGGGATCCATCCAGTCCAGGGTTGGGGGAGGCAGGGATCCATAGGGTCCCTCTCCCCGGGAGTTCTATAGGGGCTGGGAGAGATCTATAGGGTCTGGAGGGGGTGGTGGGATCAACGGGGCCCGGGGGAATCTATAGGGGCTGGGTTTGGGGAAAGAGAGAGAACTATAAGGTCTGGGGGGGAACCTACAGGGTCCAGGGTGGAAAGGGAGGGACCTATAGGGTCTGGGAGGGACCTATAGGGTTTGGGGGAGTCTATAGGATGCAGGGTGGTAGGGAGGGACCCATAGGGTGTAGGAGGGATCTATAGGGCTGGGGATCGGGGAATTTATAGGGTTGGGGGGATCTATAGGGGAGGGATCTATAGGGTGTGTGGAGATCTATAGGGTCTGGTGGTAGGGAGTGATCCATTGGGTCCAAGAGGGGTCTATAAGGCCGTGGAGGGGGGTCAGGGAAGGGTCTGTAGTGTCCAGGGGGGATTTAGAGAGGGATGTATAAGGTCCAGGGGGGGTCTATAGGGCCCGGAGGGTGGGGGGGGTTAGGGAAGGATCTATAGGGTCCAGAGGGAGTCTATAGGGCGGGGGGGTGTGATCAGGGAAGGTTCTATAGGGCTGGGTGGGTGGGCGGTCAGGGAAGGGTTTATTGGCCGGGTGGGGGGGCGGTTCTATAGGGCCGGGGGGGGTGGTCAGGAAAGGGTCTATAGGGTCGGGGGGGCTCTATAGGTCTGGGGGGGATGTCAGGGAAGGGTCTATAGGGTCAGGGGGGTTCTATAGGGGTTGGGGGGGTTCTATAGGGCCGGGGAGGGGGTCAGGGAAGGATCAGGGCGATCTACAGGGGGGTTCCATAGGGGGGGTCCCAACACCTCCCCTTCCACTCACGACGGGGCCGGCGGGCCGGGGGCGGGGCCGGAGGCGGGGCCGGGGCGGGGCCGGAGGCGGGGTCTCGGGGACGCGGCGGCGCCGGGGCGCGGCGGGCTTGGAGCGGGGCATGGCGAGGCTCCACCCACCTTGGGGGGAGGGGTGGGGAGAATGAGGGGTCCGGCCCGCGGTGCCCCCCTCCCAACCGCCCCTAAGCCCCCCCCCCCAGCCTACGTCACTCCCACCGCTCCCCTTCCTGCCCCCTCTATGACATCCCCGCGCCGTGACGTCACGGCCGAGCCCCCCCCCGAGCCCCCCTAAACCTGTCGCTGCCGCTCGGATGGATTCAAACTTCCCGGCCCCTGACGCACTTCCGCCCGCCGCTCCCACGGCCCGACCAATAGGCGGCCGCTCGGCCGTTCTGCGCTGTCGGAGGCCGCGTCTCGATGGTGACTCGGCGGCCGCGGAGCGAGAAGAGACAGAGGGGACCATTAGCATAAATTTGCATATCCGCGCCCCCACCACGGTGAGCGCTGGCTCAGCGTTTCCCGGGGGAAGGGGGGAGGCACTTGTTCCCAGTATGACCCCAGTTACACCCAACATGCTCCTAATCACTCCCAGTTGCTCCCAGTCACCCCAGTGTGACCCCAGTCACCCCCCACTCTGGTCCCAGTATGATCCCAGTTCCTCCCAACATGCTCCCAGTCATTACCAGTGTGATTCCCCAGCCGCATCTGTTTGCCCCCGCTGTGGTCCCACTTGCTCCCAGTACGATCCCAGTCACCTCCTGAATGGACTCACTCTTCCCCAGTCACTCCCAGTTGCTCCCAGCATGGTCCCGCTCACTCCCAGTTGCTCCCAGCATGGTCCCGCTCACTCCCAGTTGCTCCCGGTGTGACCCCAGTTGCTCTCAGTCACCCCTAGCGTGCTTCCAGTCACTCCTACTTGCCCCCAGTGTGACCCCAGTTGCTCCCAGTCACTCCCAGTACGATCCTGGCAGCCAGCAGTGTGCTCCCAGCTCCTCCCACTGTATCCCAGTTGCCCCCAGTGTGCTCCTAGTCGCTCCCAGTTCCCTCAGTGTGATCCCAGTTCCCCCCAGTCTGGTTCCATGTAATTCCAGTTGCTCCCAGCATGAGCCCAGCTGCTCCCAGTGTGACCACAGTTGCCCCCAGCATAGTCCCAGTTGCTCCCAATATGATTCCAGTTACACCTAACATGCTCCTAAGCACTTCCACTCACTCCCAGTATGATTTCAGTTGCCCCAGCATGATCTCAGTTGCCCATAGCGCAGTTCCAGTTGCTCCTAGTATATCCCAGTTGCCCCAGCATGCCCCCCAATCACTCCCAGTTGCTCCCAGAATGGTCCCAGCTACTTCCAGTATGATTCCAGTTGCTCCCAGTATGATCCCAGTTGCTCCCAGAGTAGTTCCAGTTGCTCCCAGTACATACCAGTCACCCCCAGCATGCTCCCAGCCATTTCCAGTCCCTCCCAGTTGTCCCCAATATGATTCCCGTTGCTCCCAATATGATCCCAGCTGCCCCCAGCGTGCTCCCAGTCCCTCACAGTATGACTTCAGTTGTTTCAAGTATGACCCCAGTTGCCCACAGCATAGTCCCAGTCACAACCAGTATGATCTCAGTTACACCCAACATGCTCCTAATCATTCCCAGTTTCTCCCAGTCACCCCCAGTATGATCCCAGTCACTCCTAGGTTGACCCTTGTATATTCACAGTATGATCCCAGTTTCCCCCAGCATACTCCCAATCCCTCCCAGTATGATCCCACTTCCAGCATGATCCCAGTCACTCCCAGTATGGTCCCAGCTGCCTCCAACATGCTCCCAGTCACTCCCAGTCACTCCCATTTGCCCCTACCATCACCACAGTTGCTCCCAGTCACACCCAACATGGTTCCAGTCACTCCCAGTATGATTCAAGTCACTCTCAGTATGATTCAAGTCACTCCCAGTATGATCCCAGTTGCCCATAGCGTAGTTCCAGTTGCTCCCAGTATATCCCAGTTGCCCTCAGCATGCCCTCAAACACTCCCAGTTACTCCTAGCATGCTCCCAGTCATTCCCAGTCCCTCTAAATATTACTCCAGTTGCTCCCAGTATGATCTCAGTTGCCCACACCAGTTCCAGTTGCCCCCAGTGTGCTCCTAGTCACTCCCAGTCACTCCCAATATGATCCCAGTCACTCCCGGTATGGTTCCAGTCACTTCCAGTTGACCCTAGCATGAGCCCAGCTGCTCCCCGTGTGATCCCAGTTGCCCCCAGCATGCTCCTAATCACTCCCAGTTGCCCCCAGCATGCTTCCTGTCAACCCACTATGATCCCAGTTGCCCCCAGAGTGAGCCTAGTCACTCCCAGTTGCCCCCAGCACGGTCCCAGTTGTTCCCACTATATCCCAGTTGCCTCCAACATGACCTCAGTCACTCCCATTACTTACCAGTACGATTCTCATTGCTCTCAGTATGATCCCAATTGCCTGTAATGTAGTTCCAGTTGCTCCCAGTATATCCCAGTTGCCCTCAGCATGTTCCAAATCACTCCCAGTCGTTCCCAGTTGCCCCCACCATGACCCCAGATGCTCACAGCATAGTCCCAGTCACTCCCAGTATGATCCCAGTCACCCCCAGTTGCTCCCAGCATGAGCCCAGCTGCTCCCAGTATGATCCCATTTGCTCTCAGCGTGGTCCAGTTGCTTCCATCCCTACCAGTATGATTCCAGTTGCTCCCAGTATGACCTCAGTTGCCCACAGTATAGTCCCAGTTGCTCCCAGTGTGATCCCAGTCTCACCCAACATGTTCCTAATCACTCCCAGTTGCTCCCAGTCACCTCCAGTACGATCCCAGTCACTCCTATTATATCCCCTGTATATTCCCAATATGATCCCAGTTGCCCTCAGTGTATTCCCAGTTTCTCTCAGTGTGATCCCAATATGCCCCCCAGCACATTCCCAGTTGCTTCCAGTTGCCCCCAGCATGCTGCCAGTTGCCCCCAACATGCTCCCAGTCACTCCCAGTATGATCCCAGTCACCCACTGGGTACTTCCCAGTATATCCCAGTTGCCCCCAGCATGTTCCCACTCACTCCCAGTCACCCTCAGGGTGATCACACTTTCTCCCAGTCACTCCCGTTCACCCGCAGTGTGCTCCCGGTATGATCCCAGGGGCTCCCAGTATGATCCCAGTTACCCCCAGCATGGTCCCAGTTCCTCCCAGTGTGCTCCCAGTGGCTCCCAGTATGAACTCAGTTGCCCACAGCATAGTTCCAGTTTCTCCCAGTATATCCCAGTCTCCCCCAGCACGGTCACAGGCACCTCCAGTCACTCCCAGTTGCTTCCAGTTTGGTCCACACTGCTCCCAGTTCCTCCCAGTCTGATACCAGTTGCTCCTAGTGCGCCCCAGCACACTCCCAGTCACTCCCAGTTGCCCCCCAGCATGACCTCACTTCCCCCAGTATGGTCCAAGTCACTTCCAGTGTGGTACTACTTGCTCCCAGTAACTCCCAGTTGCACCAGCATGGTCCCAGTTACCCCCCCTCCCCATAATCCCACTTCCTCCCAGTATGGTCCCAGTTTCTTCCAGCATGGTCCCAGTTGCTCCCAGTGGCTCCCAGTTGGCCCCCCCAGCGTGGTCCCAGTGGCTCGTGGTGTGTTCCCGGTGGGTCCCGGTGGCGGGGTCAGGCGGGGCAGCCGAGGGGGCGCAGGGTGTGCAGGAAGTCCAGCAGGGGGCGGCAGGGCGTGGCTGGGGCGCAGCGGGGGCGGGGCGGCACCTCCTCCACCCAGGGGTGGGGACCCAGCAGGAACTGGGGGCTGGGGGGGACGGTGACACGGGGACGGGGGGACACGGGGGGACAGTTGGGGTCAGTTGGGGACACTTGGGGACACAGGGACATTGGGGGACATTTGGGGACAGTTGATGACAGGGGGGGACATGAGGGACACATGGGGGACATTTGGGGACATGGGGACACAGGGGACATTTGGGGACATTTGGGGACACTTGGGAATATGGGGGACATGGGGGGACATTTGGGGAGACTTGGGGACAGTTGAGGACATGGGGACACATGAGGACACATGGGGGACATTTGGGGATATTTGGGGACATGGGTGGACATGAGGGACATTTGGGGATATTTGGGGATATTTGGGGGGACAGGGGGACATGGGGACAGTTGGGGAAATGGGGGACATGGGGACAGGGGGACATGGGGGACAGTTGGGGAAATGGGGGGACATGGGGACATGGGGGGACATGGGGGACAGTTGGGGAAATGGGGGGACATGGGGACATGGGGGACATGGGGGACATTTGGGGACACGGGGTTATTTGGGGACAGCTGAGGACATGGGGGAACATGGGGGACATGAGGGATATTTGGGGACACTTGGGGTCATGTGGCACATGGGGACATTTGGGGACAATTGAGGACAGTTGGGGACATGGGGGGCATTTGGGGATACTTGAGGACTTTTCAGGACATGGGGGGACACGGGGGACACTTGGGGACATGGGGATGGGGGGGACATGGGGACCTTCGGGGACCTTTGGGGACATTTGGGTCCCTTCTCACCATCCATTGGTGTCCATCCCCGCCCCATCAGCAGGATCCTCTGAGGGGGGCGGACCCTCAGCGGGCAGCTGCCCCGCCCTAGCACCTGGCCACGCCCCCCGGGGCCACCTCTGCCGCCCAGTTGGGACCAGTCAGCACCAGTAACAACCAGTACACACCAGTAACGCCTCCAGCGCAGCTCACACCCCCACACACACCCCCCAGCTTTCCCAGTCCGGCCCAGTTCAGTCTCAGGCTCTCCCAGTGTGACTCAGGGTCCCCACTGTGCCACCCCAGTATGGCCCAGTACATCCCAGTGCTCCCCAGTATAACTCAGGGCCCCCTCTAGCTTCACCCCAGTATGGTCCAGCATATCCCAGTTCCCCCTAGTATGGCCCAACCCCCTCCCAGTATGGCCCAGGGACCCCCATGGTGCTCTTATGCCCCTCCAGTGCTCCACCAGCACCTCTCTGTACATCCCAATATAG